GGACCGATGTTCGTGCATGTGAACGGCCGTCTACCGAAACCTTGCCACATGCCTGAGATTTCATGTTCACAGAAATATGAAGATGGCTGTCTTCTACTAAGACGTTGAACAGTTTGGTCTGAGACAAAATCCCACAAGACAACCGCCTCTTCTCATGCAAATTTACTCCTGGACCCAACGCCACTACGTCCTTGCTGCTCCAGTGCTTTCGACCGTCTAAGCAGAGGCTCTGTTTTCAGAAACCTGAAAGGCACAGGCCTATTGTTTCCCTGTTACGTGGGTCGTGAGCGACATCTGAAGATCTTCTTCTGTCACTACACACAGATGACTCGACGTAATTGAGATTTGAGGTTCTCACGACGTTCAGTTTTAAATTGGTTGTCTTCTGGGTTGCAGCGCCGTGTAGCCCCGTAGAAGTTTAACAGCGTTTCCAAGGTCTTTGCTTCCTCCATCATCAGGACGATGGCTGCCATACTACGTGGTGCAACAATCCAGAAGACAGGCATATTCATGTTCGCTGCCATGAGAACCTGAATCTTTATTCCAATTTGTATTATTCCTTGAAAATGGTCGACGCACTATTAATTTTCAGTGCTTTGTAAACTAATAGTGATGATAATGTTTATTTATCTAAACAATAAGAAACGCATTCCGAACGTATTATGAGTCCTGTCACCCAGTAAGGACAAATGCGTCTTCATGATTGTTCTTGCGTCCTTCAGGCGACTGGTAGAAGGTTATTTTTGCATTTACGTTATTAGAACAATGGGACCTTACATCAGTATCAAGTAGGTCTCTTTGCGTATAAATATGTTGCGAGAAAGTAGTCCAGAGAGCTATTTCCAAACTCACACACATCAGAAACTGGAGCAGGTAAATGTTTGTACGTACGGTGAGGTCAGGGGTTTGCAGTCTCTTAGGGATCCCGATGTTAAGGCCGCCTCACTAAATGCATGCAGTTAGACCCAGGAAACAATAAAGCAACGCAGTAAGGGACAAGCGATCACAAATGCCGGATTTATCTGAGTTAGAATAGAGGCTAATTCACATGCAGACGGCCTGAAGAGTTGTGGCTTAAGCTCCTTCTGGATGCTTGAATCTCTTGAAGGGAATACTTGGTTGTTGCCAGATATCTTACCAGATTCTTTCCACCTCTTCTGTGTATGTATGTTACAGTCGAGCTATAAAATCCGGTTCTTTCAGAATGCGTAAGAACATTCAGCAAATTATGATAGATGTATGTTATATTGCCTAGGCATGTGAGATTTGAGGTTCCCACGGTGATGAACATATCAGTTGCGGTCTTCTGGGCTGCAGATGGTTGCGAACGTTACGGAGGACGTTAGTAACCGTCTAAGAACGCAAGGTATCACAACGAAGAAGAACGGCATTGCCAATACAGTGAATGATCCCGGTAATGATATGGCCCACTGTTCGAGTTTTATCAGCGTCGGTATGTCTGTCTGTATTTGCCCCGGTCAAGTGTGCCTCTTGTCATCACATAGTGTTCTTTGTTTATATCTATCTGACCGCAGAGACCTTACTTCCTACTGGTCTTTTCATAGATAAATAATCTAGTTTATTCATAGACAAATGTAAAGAATCGACTTGCTTAGTAATTACGTTTTCTGTATTACACAAAAGTGCTAAACATATAACCGTTTTAGTTTTGATGAACAGAGGACAAATGCTGAAATGTCCCAATAAAATGAGTAACCATAACAAACCTCACAGTAAGAAAATTACTCCATTGTCTCATGTACGGTTATGAAACTGCGGTTATAACGCTGGCCTTGTAATCCTGGGGTCTCGGGTTCGATTCCCGGCGGTGCCCGAATTTATAACTTGTGTTGGGCAAGGCCGTGGTCTAGGCAACACGGAGTTTTCCTCCGGGGGCTTCCCCGATTTCTCCGTGGCATCCCAACAATTACTCCATTCACACACAGCAGAAGGCAATGGCAAACCACTTCTGGATCATCTGCCAAGAACGTATATGAACAGGTCCCAGTCCGAGAAAAGGATGGAAGGATCCTGTTCATATGGACCTGTCGTCAGACAGAACACTAAATAAATAAAATAAATATAAACATAACTGGTTCTTTTGGAAACCACAATATTGTGAAGACAAGTTGTGAAAATTTCTGCCCGCAACCAGCCACAGTTTTATTTTGGTAACATAGTGTGTCTGAACCGTCATTTCCATGATTAAAGCCTTTAGATTCTCCGAATATAATTGTCATACAAATGTTCAGATAACACGCACTAAGGTATTTCCAGTTGGCACCCAAACGTTGAATTTTATCTCATTGAAACATCCGTTATCTTCTTTGCAAACTTCATCCAAAAGTACTGAACATAGATTGTTTAATCAACAAATGACATTAGTATTTTGTTTTGTTGTATTGTTTTAAAACTTTTACCTGAATTTTGTATGCCTTTGTAAATGTACAACAAAACAACGTTAACCCTTTGAAGCCGGAGCTCATCTAAATAAATTAAAAATTCGATCCGTACCTCAAAGAAAACAACGCTTCACCATTATAAAGATTAACAGGTTAACGCTGTTTATGGAAATGATTGAAGTCCGTAAATACATTCTGTAGAAAAAAGCGCAGACTTACAGATTGTTGAAGGTGATATACATAAATCACCAATGTGATCTACGAAACAAGTTGGAAATAACTCAAACGTGGAGGTCCCCAATACTTAACGTGGTGAATATTTTTAAATAGTTACAGGTTCAGACGTAGTAAAAGGATTGATGTCTTCTAGGTTGTTGCGGTGGCCCTGATGATAGAGGCAGCACGGAACTCTAAAAACGTCGGTTGACGTCTATCAGACTACTTGGCGCAACAACGCAGAAGACAGCAATCTTCAGACTTGCCGCCGTGGAAAACTCAAATCGTACTTAAGCATAGTAATTTCATAACACGCTGACTTCCGTGAGAGTCGGCAGTCGGTCGACGCGATAGACATCGGCGAGTCACAATGTTCATGCACTGAGGATTCCTTTTGCCAGTGTAGTATAAGGGTCACAGGTGGGACACGGCACGATACGTAAGCCCAGAAAAATCGCTCGGTGAAAACGTGGCAATATTTTGTATTCTAATACGACTAATAGTTTTAGAATGAATAACATTTAAATTACGATGTACGCTACTGAAAATTATATAATTGTGCCTATTCACTTCTATAATGAGAAAATTCACCAATCAATAATGAATATCTAAATATATTTTAAGAATCTTTTGTAAAAATGTTTTACTATTAACTAGCATTTATATTTTAGAGTAGTATACCACATTTACAAATCCTCGGAGATAGATTGCTCTATGCAAGAGAAAAAGTTTCACGTGTCATAATTAAACACCACGACGTGTTCAGTTTATGTTCGGAGTGGAGGTATGTTTCCAGGAATTCCTCGGCCCTAACTGGAGGTAATTTCTTATGTATTTTTGGGATTTACAATTGCGTTTTAGATTGTAGACGAAAGAATAACATTTTCTGAACTAAAAATAACAGCTGTCTTCAGTATTTATTAGGGTATTTAAACGTGGGGACTTGAATAGGTCTGGGAGTTCTTTGTCTGTTTGAAAACATGATTATTTGGAAAGGAATTCACTTCAATCCATTTATGGAACGTGTGAAATGGTGAAGTCTGAATGGAATGTGGGCGTCGTTTTGTCGAGCATCCGATGCCTGAAGGGGGGCGGGGTATGTTTTCAGTTGAGTGGATCTTATACAGGTATATTCCTGGATAGAGCAGTGGCAGCACTGAATGGAATTACTGTCTTCTTGTGACAGATGCAAGCTGCAGTATCGGCTTAGCCGTTGGCTTGAAAGCTGTTTCGAAGCCATATTTTGATTTAAAGACCTGCAATGGGACGACATTCGTTGCTTTGTGCTGATATTTACTCGCATTAAACAGTATTAGATATACTGTGTGCGGATGAATTAATGTGTTGAATAAGCTGTGAACTGCCGGAAAGGGGAAATACACCAACTTCATGGTTGGGCGCAGACATAAAACTCCCGCATTATAAAAATAGCATTACGAGGTGTCGCACAACGTTAGAGAAATCGGGTGATGGGTTTTGATTTGTGTCTATTGGCTCGATATAGGTACCAGTGGCGGGTTCTCTTACAATACATTAATGAACCTTCGGACTTAAAACAAACGAGACGTTTTATGTCCAACTGAGGGAGGGTCAGATTCTAAACAGAGACGCCATGGAATTGATTTTCAGACGAACACAGTGCAATAGATATTTAACCTTTTCATGCTGTAACTCGTATAAATAATATTTGAGAATCCAGTCCGTAAATCAACATCCTCCTTTCAACATTACGAAGGTTAATTGGTTAATGCTGTTTCTGTAAATAATCGCTGTTTATAATGATAATTACCTGAAACCCATAAATATAGTATGTGGAGTTACTGATTGTTAATGCAGGTGGTACATATAATTACCACAATAATTTAGAGGGTTAAATACCTATTCTGAATTTGTATTGAAATTATTTCGAAGAGAGGCAAATTCAGCAATTTTATTAGACACCATATAAACAGTTTTGATTTTGAAGGGAGCTGAGTCCTGGATACATAAAATCTAAACAGTATTACACTCTCAGATTATTTCGATAGCGTTTTCAGTGTTCATAAACTTTGCTATCTTCAGTGTGAAACAGATTCAGTGACGAATAAGATAACAGCGTTTGCGCACGTCAAGTTTAGTTTCCGTGCGCGTTCCATCTACTAAACAAAACGACGCCGTGCAGCGGCGTCCAGTAGCAGTCGCTAGTCTGTGAGAGAAGCGTCGGTCCAAATCGCCACTCGCATCCAAGACATCTGAGACGTCTTTCGCGCGTCGGTTCTTTCTCTACGCCAGAATAGAATTATACTAGCATATAAAACAGCGAAAGTGATTTTGAAAATCGACACGTCTTGAAGGACGCTGCTTGATGAACAGTAATTACTTATAAATTAATGAAATCATGAATATTTGACGTCCTCATGTGTTTCAACCGTTAAAGTTGAATTAAGTTAATTAATACAGGACAAAATAATTTATTTAGATACAAAAATTAAAATTAAACTAACTCTGTAGTGTTATAGTGCTTTGAGTTTATCGTATTATATACAATTTTATATTATTATTTTAAAGATATTTAATATGTATGTTTCTAAACGAATGTATGAACGTATATTACAGTGAAAAGTCAGTATCATTAGTCTCGTCAGTGAACTTAATATTTTTACAAGTTTCCACCTGAATTTATAAAGGAGGTGATATTTTTAGGCCTTTAAGAACAACTGTGTAGCGTATAATGTTACTGGAAAAATGAAATCTTTTACGGACGAACTCAAAAGATTTATTTCATTCATGCTGTGTTGTTAAGACCATAAACAGAGGACCCCAAATGTAGAGTCTTGTTGTAGTGACTTTGAAATATCATATTAAATCGGACGACTCCAAACATCTTGTTGGTCCAGACTTGATGATAGTTTTAGTTTGCTGAATTGAGAGAATCCGTGGTGATTAGGAGAAGAACTGCAATGAAGAGCTGCTTCGGATTGGTGATCTGCTTCGACGCGTTTCCAGAGCCCTGCGAAATTTGGAAAGCAATTTAGAAGAAATAAAAAACAAATTAAGGTATGCAGTATGTGACATGAATTTTATAGCTGTGTTTCTCAAATTCTTGCTGTGTGATGTTTAAGATCAATAGTGGTATATTTTGGAAGTACTGAAGTGAATTAAAACAGAAAATTATTAACATATAACAAGAGTAATATCATCGTGATAATTATAATTTGTTAATGAATTATGAAGGAAATCATAATTTATAACTTCGTAATTTGTAATAACCAACTACCTGACCAACTCCGTGACACAGACTTCGTCCTGAGAAGTTAACAATAGCTCATCTATTCAAGAATTATTTCGCAGTATGAAAGCCGAAGTTTCATTACCCTCATCACAAAAGCCCGCTATGGGACCTTATCTTGAGCCAGTTAAGTCCAGTCCACACCCTCTCTGCCTATGTCTTCCAAACAGTCTCTCACCTCAAGTTTTCCAATCAGAATTCTGTACGTATTTTTCATCTTTCCATGCGTAGAACATATCCTTCATAAAATTTCAAGAATTTCTTGACTATGTGAGCAATTCTTTAGCTCCTAAACAAGCACTAGGTCTGTGACTTTGGTTAATTAAGCATTGCCTTTATTAGCGTTCGTCGAAAATGTTACATTACATTTAATTTGCCTAACATTGTTTAACTGTATCGATTTTATAGGACGGCAGTTAGTTAAACAGTTACGTTCTGGCTGTAGTTTGCGCGAGTAAAAACTATGGGAAACTTTAAATTTGTCGGTAATAACCTCAGGCTGTCGTACCATCCTCATATTTTAATTTGATCACGTGAACAATATTTATGAGATATGGAGTTCACACGGGGGTGAAGTTATCCGTGGTGCTGTTCTGGGTTGTGAATCCGTGTGGGCATCGACTTTACTGAGGGACATACTGCCTCCATCTTCAGGTACTTCAGCCAAACTGTAAGACCAAAACTGACAATTTAACTTTTATATTAAACGTCGTTACTGTCGCAGCAGCGTTAAAGGTTGGTATTGTAGGCTTTTATTCGATGATAGGAAAACAGAAAGTAAAATTTGGTATGACCTCTAGTAGCATGAAGTTTGTACCAAGATTCATGAATATCCGTCATCTGATTTGGGTATCACAGATACAGACATTTTGGCATCAGAAAATACATCTCTGGGCCTGTGATATGAAACACATTTTCATGTTGGTTTGGTTATACTCACAGAGGACTGCTCTCGTAATAGGCTACGTGACAAAATGTAAGCTACTATTTTACAAGCGAAGTTATCATGGCAGAACTTTAGATATACTTTAAATGACGTATACCAGCATGGTCTAACTGGCGGCTAGTAAGCCATACCCGGCCCCAGACCACTTGTAACTAAACCTGCGAAATTATTCCTTAATTTATTATTGGTTACTTCAAACTCGTTTGTATTTACTGCGAAGAATCTTTAAATTTTTGTTTTGTTTTTGGTAGTCTTCTCTTTTACGTACAAGTGCCACACTTGTTGTGGACTTGAAACCCTAGCATAAGATGAAAGTTTCTCTGACAGAAAGTCGGGCACAGGGTATTACAAAAGTAGATTTAGAAAAAATGATAACTCTGTTGCAGTTCTATATTTGAGCATATACTGTAAGAATGATTATATTTTTTATAATAATTGACATTTTTGAATAAGTATTGTTAAGGATTACAAATGCTGACTGTTAATTTTCAAAAATAATGTTAAAAGAGATTTTTAGTCCGAGGAAAGGAAACTGATGAACCAATACGACAAAAGTGACATTCGGCTAATTCTTTAAATTGTTTTTCTGTGTTGAAAAGGGTGGGAAAGAAATACGCAAGCGAGAAAATCTGAGTTTGAATAATTGTAAGAACGGGGTAAGTACGAAAGAGAATAGGGGATAATTAAACTAATGAAATCATTCCCCGTTGAATTTCAATGAACATTCATCATTAGTCATTATAAAATACGGGATATAGAATAGAAATTGAGTATTTATATTAATTTTACCCGTCCAGTAATTTTATAGGACAACAGTGACTTTAGAGGCTGGTGTTAAGAGATATGAAGATAGTTCCACTTCGAAATCGTAATCGGTCTTTGTCGGTTTTAATCCTCATTCGAGAAATGTTTTACTTCGTTAAATACATAATGGAATTTTCAACAGGTCTTATTTGAAGTAAACTAAGTTTAAGATCTTTTTTTTTTTG